GAATTCTTGTCTGCGAGGGTGCTGAGGGCCTGGCACAGGTTGCCCAGAGAAGCTGTGGCTGCCCCATCCTGGGAAATGTCCAAGGCCAGGCTGGATGGGGCTTGGAGCAACCTGGGCTAGTGGAAGGTGTCCCTGCCCGTGGCAGGGGGTGGAATAAGATGAGCTTTAAGGTCCCTTCCAAACTAAACCATTCCAGGATTCTATGAAATTATTGCAGTGAGCCAGAAAACAGGGAGAGAATGGAGCAAACCATGCCAAGGCATGACAGGAGAGGCTGAGAGCAGAAGTGTGAAAGACCAGCAGCTTGGTCAGGGTAGAAAAAGTTTAATGGCTACAATAACAGACCAGGGGAACAAAAAGCTTTAAATATCTTCTACCAATCTATTTTTCCAAGCTAATCTTCTTTCTCCCAAGCCAATGTTGACTCCTGAAGATGAGCAGCAAACAGTTCTGCACGTGTTGTACAGCCCAGCTACTCATCAGGGCTGAGACAGATGTTCAGCTCACATCATAAAGATTTGGAAAAGGTTTTATACCCAATATTTGCACAATATTTCTACCCTGTGTCCACAAAGCACCTCAAACCTTCTCACCATGGCACCCTCAAACTGTGCCCCTAAGACAAGACACATTCCACCTGTTTTATTTTCTCCTCCAACCTCTTCAGAGCCTGACATCTGATTTTAAAAGAAAATCTCATAAGGGCAATAAGCTCCTGGTGTGCTATTTTCACCAATGAAACTCTGTGGACAGAGTTCAGAGGGTGGTGTTAATGCAGATTTTAATAAAATCAGCCTATTTTAAGGCACCTTGGTGCCCCCTCCGAGCACAAACACAGCTCAGCTGCACACCTGAGATACCTCCCCTGCAGCCACCAGGCACAGACATCACACCTGGAAATGCAGATTAGCCTTTGGAACCTCCTGACACCTCATTCCACGATCCCTTCTCCTCGTCTCCTCAGCTCCAGGACGTGGAAACACACGTGACCATCCAGAGGCTCTTGGTGAGCCAACCCCACCGAGTCCTACCCACAGCTCTGAACTGAAACACAGCCCATCACAGCTACAGCACCTGCAGGAACTGCTGTGCAGTGGCTACAAATTCCACCTTTTTTACAGGATACTGCAGAATCCCACGGCAGCTGCATGCACAGCACAGCCTCAGCAACCCAGGTTTTACCTCTAGGAAACAAAACAAGGACTGCTACAGCCAGCAGAGAGAACTCAACAGGTAAAAAACCATTGGAATAAATGACCTTCCTGCCCAAACTGATGTTCCCCACGTAGCCAGTCAAGTCTCAGCATTACTCTGAAACCCCAACTAGGTTTTCACAGCTGCCTGGGCATTGAGACAGCAGCACCAAGGCACTGGGGGATCCCTGAACCTCCACCTCTACTGTTTCCACACACAAGTCATTCTGTACTTACAGTGGCATTTCCAGCAACTGGGAAAATCACATCAATAAATAACAACTGCCTTTTTAGCAGTTAATTCCTAAATTTAACTGCTGGGACATGTCTGCTGCTCTTCTGTGTTTTCTGTCACCACCATGAAGAGGAAGCTGCAGCTGTGACTGGGCAAAATGGACCGAGATATCAAAGCAAAAACACTCTCCCTTTTCCATGAGGACACAGAGAGGTGCCAGCAGGGAGAGCAGCACTCCGTGCAGTGAGGAAAAGACAGAGGTTACCACAGGTGAGGAGATGGGAGGCAACAGCCACTCATGTGTCCTGTCCAGAGAGAGCAAATGAGACCACAGCAGGGAATAAGGGAGAAAACAAGGCAGAGTCCCTAAATTTGGCAAAAAACCCCTCAAGACAAGGTGCTGAGTTAAACATCGACGGCATCACGGCCAACACAGGCACCCTTGGCCTCTGAGATGCTGCAAAATGAAGACATGGAGTGACTTAACTGCTCCCTTACAACACTTTTTGCTGTATTCAGGATGAAAGCTTTAAAACAGGTCAGAGCTACCAATTTTAAAATGCTGGAAACCCTAAAAGTTTGGCTTTTTACTCAGGAATAAGCTCCTCTTTAGCTCAAGCTGCCATGGTTAAGTGTTTGGTTTGTAGCTCCCTTCAGCTTTGCTTCAGGCATCTCCTTTCTATGTTTTAGCCCTAAATTAACATTATCCAAATACTGATGTGTTTTGTAAAGCCTTTGGGGAATCCATCCTCTCCTCCTCTCATTTTATCACTCCAAAATCTTCCTGGGACACAGCAGGAGCCACAGCCAGGCAGCAGCACTGACACACCCTGCTCGCAGTGCTCACGTTACCTCCAGCAAAGGAAAATGGCCCCAAATCCTGGGAAATAACAGGCAAATCCATCCTTCTCAAAATCCTTCTCAAAATCATGATGCCAGACAGAAATCAACGGGAATGCCATTTACCTGCTCCTCAATGAGAAATCTCTCAGCTGGGAGGAAAATAAGCATTTTGGTGTGTTAGCAACAGATTCAGACCTCCCTGGTGACAGTATTGTGTGTATTCCTCATTACTCCACGCTCCAGAGTAGGTCCTGCAAGTGGCAGAAGGGGACATGGGGATCTTAAACACTCAGCAACCTTCCCAACCTCCTCCTCTGGACCATTTTTATATCTCCACCAAACCTCTGGGCAAAGCCCTCCCCGTTCACTGACAGCTCTGTGCTGGCACCCACAGCACACACAGGGATTTTATCAGAGCTTTGCCTGTGGCCTCCCAGCAGCAGAGCCGTGTCAGGAACTCGGCAGCAGAGCCGCACATCCCGCTGAGAACACCCCGGAGTCGGTTCTGTGTTAGGATGTACCTTCAAAGGCATAAAGGGAGGGTGTAAAGGTTCAGCTCCCAGAACTGAAACAGGTGGCTCCTGGCTCTTTGTGCCTGGAAAATGTCCCTCTCCAAGTTACACACCGAGAACTGAACCTCTTGGTTTGGTTGTTCCACTGCATTAGAGAGATCTAACCCCTGAGAGCTGCAGCCCCAGCTGTGGAAACCTCGCTGCTGCCCTGGCAAGGAGCAAACAGGGCACCTCTGCTCACCCAAGGTTTTACAGCTCTTTTCCCAGCTCCAGAGTTAAGGCAGAGGAATGTTGCTGGCAGTTCCCAGAGCAGACAACAGCCCTTGATTTCAGAGCCCACTAATGCCCCTGTCCTGGGTCCCTGTATTTGCTCAGTGCCAACACAGAGGCCCTGCTGGGTTGTATTTTGGTTTCCCGATGTTCCCACAAAGCCAACGATCCCCCCGCGGCCCCCCCATGGCAGCACAGGAATGTTGTGCACTTTACAGGCTGGAGGAGAAGGGTTTTGCACCTACAGTGCTTGAAGGATGAGGGGGAAGGTGCTCTGGGTCCAGGGCCCCACTCCAGCACCTCCTCCTTTCGGGTTTAACCACAAGATGCCAACCTGTCCCGGGGTGCAGGGCTGGGGCTGGGGGAGGTTTGGTTGTTGTGCAGCGTCTCAAGGAGCCGGCACATCCCAACTGAGCCCTGCCACTGGGAACAGCTGAGCAGGGAGAGAGGAGGAATGGCCAGGCTCTATAAAATGGGGAGAAAGAAGAGGCAGGGAGAGAGGCTGGAACAACTCTGAGAACAAAAATGTAACACTAGAAGGCATGTAAACAGTTCTGGACCATGTCAGCTCCTCGACTGCAGGAAAAGGAATACTGACACACCTCAACTGAACCGAGAGCCCCAGAAATGCTTCAGGAATACATTCTTTGGATGCAAGAGGTATTTGCAGAATTACTACCTGAAAGTTGGAAGTGCAACTCACTATGGGGAGGGGGAAGTTGTAACCTAGGGAGAAGGAAGCTGCTGGAAAACTGTGCACTCCAAACACCTCCTTCCTCATCAGGAATAGGCTCCAAATGGGCAACAGCACTTGTGGCAGAGGGATCCCGGGATGAGGATCCTCTGGATTTTTGTGTGCTGGCAGATTGAGCAAGATGAATTCTGAACAGCTTTCCTATCAAATGGAATACTGATGTGCATAAACAGCAGCTTTTGTGGGACCAGTGTGCAGAGTCCTGTTTAACTGAGGTCCAGAAATCCCACAGATTTACATCTGAGAAAGGCTTCAAGGGCTCCATGCTGACCATGGAGAGGAGATGGCTCTCCAACAGCTGAACAGGAACTCCACAATGGATACAGTTATTACTCATATCCCAAAAATCACACAGGGATAAGAAGAAGAATGAATATATTCTGCCTTGAGTTCAGATGGAAAGAATCAAAGCCCACAGCACCACGCAGCCAGTGCAGCACTGCCCTCCCCCAGCTCTTCCCTGGCTGATGAACTTCTTTTGGGCATAAAAATTGTTTATTTGGTGTCACAAGGAGTTGGCTGAACGGGAATAGTTGAATAGCCCATATTATCAAACATCAGTGAAGGAGGTGAGGGAAGCAGAGGACAGACTGGCACAGCCCGTGGCACCCATCCCACAGCTCCCTCTGTGCCAGCAGCTCCTGTGCTCACGCAGGCCCCGCTCCCAGGGACGGCACGGAGTCACCCCCAGGACTGGGACATGATTGTGCTTCTCAGCTCACTAAAGGACTCTTTCCCTATTCCCGCTTTCAGTGCACGCAGGGAGCACGCTGGGCTGTTCCCTGCTGCAAAAGCACAGTGTGTGTGGGGGGGAAATCCTGAAAAGTATTGTGCAGCACCATTGGTTCAGTCCAGAGGGAAGCTGGGATACTCAACTGCGTTTGGTGGCTTTGAAGTGTCTCCAGCTTGGAAACAAATATTGCCTAAGGTAACATCCTCACAGTGGTTGGTAGCTCGAAGAGGCTGAAACACCATCTTATTACTCCCGTTAAACCAACCCAGGATCCATCTCTCCTGATCCCTTCCGCACACGAAAATCCCCAAAGGAAAGAAAATAAAAAAAAGCCAAACAGGAATGAAATAGATAAATAAATAAATAAAGGCATTCCCAAAACATTTATTTTGCTTTTTTTTTCTCTCTCTCTCTCTCTCTCTCTCTCTCCAATCAGCTCAGAGACACTGATGTCACCTACCTTGGCCACCTCAGCCACGCACGGAGCAACCCCGAACGGCGCTGGAGTCGTGAGCCCTGAACTGCAACACTCCCACGGTCTCTTGTCTGCTTCTGGAAACCTGTCCCGAGAGCTGGTGCTGTCCCAACCCTCATTCCACTCCCACATATCAGTAACTCATTGGCTATATGGAAAAGAAGTGTATCCAAAGCACACGATGGCACGTGGAGGCTGAAGAAAGCATCGGTAAAGGAGAACAGAACTGCAGCAGCTGTTCCTCCTGCCCTAACTAAAGGCTGAGCCACGGCACGACTCCTCCTCCAGCCCGACCCAAAGTGTGTCACCCCTCGCCCAGACATTCTTGTGGTGCATTACTGGCACTTTATAGCAGTCTCATATGGTAGATACATGCACATGTCTGTGTGTTACATACAAAAGGTCTGATAACAGTAAAACATTGTTCCGAGAGATATAAAAAACCCAAGGAGTTGCATTAGCCAAAAAAAGTGTTTTGTGAGAAACAACAATAAAAATGATATAACCACAGCTTTTCTTTTCTTTAAAATTAGATAAATACCCAAAGCTATGATTTCACTTGGGGCCTCTGTACCTTGACAGGGAGTCCAATGGAGTATATCTGAAGGCACTTAATATCCTCTACTCAGCTGTAAGATGGTTGCACAGGGAGCTGGGGAGCTTGAGATGTGATTTGGGGCATGAAGGAGAGAGATGGATGGAAAGAAGCCCTGAAGAGCTGTGATCCACACAGCCCCAGGTGCCGAAATGAACACAAACGTACAACCCAGGTGTGGAGAAGGTCTCTCTTGAAAAAGAAAACTGCCAATTGCAAAAGTCAGTGTGTTTCTACGGACAGAGCACTTCATGCAACTCTGACAGTGCATCATACACTCTTAGAGATATTTAGCTTTGTCAGTTCATTGACCTCCTCAGTCCCCGCTTCCTCACAGTCAGACTTCTCCGCGGCTTTGCCGAACCTGCACTTCTCCTCTGCCTTCACCGTGTCTTTCTGGAGCTTCTTGGCAGAAGGAGGGATGTCCTTGTTTTCTGAGTTATCTGTGCCATGGGCTATGTTTTCAGAATTCTGTACAGAAGGCACCAGGTTGGCAATCTCGTCGGTGGGAGACCGCCCAATGCTGCCATCCACTTGCACCCGAATGTCTGGAGATATGGACAACTGGTGATGCGGCACGATCCCGTTGTCCATGCACTTGGGGTAAAGGTAGGTCTTCATCTGACCCTTGCCCTTCACGTTGACCGTCCCCCTGTAGTCAAAGTCATACCCCATCTTGCTGAGGATGCGGTAGCTCTCCTCACTCACCTGGATGCGGCACTCGACGCCGGTGGTGTCCATCCTGCTGGCGATGTTCACCGTGTCCCCCCAGATGTCGTACAGCAGCTTGGTGGTGCCGATGACCCCGGCCGTGAGGGGGCCGTGGTTGAAGCCGATCCGCAGCTTAAAATTGAACCACAGCATGTTGTTGTTGAAGTCGTCCACCACCCGCATCATTTCTTTGGCAAATTCGAACAGGGTCTGCAGGTGCCCGTGGGGGTGGCTGCTGTCCTGGCACTGCGAGGTGTTCAGCCCCGACGCCGCCATGTAGGTGGCCCCGATGGTTTTGATTTTCTCGATGCTGCTGTAGTGGGCTTTGCTCAGCAGCTCGTCGAAATCCCCGATGAGCTCGTTCAGGACTCGGTAGCACTCCTTGCCCCCCTGGTAGTTCTCCTCGTAGAACTCGCTGAAGTTCACTATGCTGGCAAAGATCACCCCGCCGCTGTCGTGGTTTTTGGAATAGCTCTGGGACACCTTCAGCTGCTCAGCCACGTGGTATGGGATAATATTCCTCAGCAACCAGTCAGCTTGATCCCTCATGCTCTGGATTTTGGTGCGATGGAGATCGGCCTCCACGTCCCCGTGGTAGTGGAGGCGGTAGCTGACCTCAAACTCTCGGTTCAGAAACCAGACCAGGAGCAGCAGGAGGAAGGAGACCAGAACCACCTCCTGACCGATCAGGTCTGCCGGCCTCTTGGTGTCATCTGGCACTGAGCTGTTGCATGGGCTCTTCCTGGAGCTGGAGAGAGGGAAAAACAGACAGGGGCATTTAAAACCACAGAGTCAGGGCACTGCCAGTGCCGCTCCGGAGACAGAAACCCTGTGCTGGAAAAAGAAGTGTGGGAAGAGCAGTTACATACTGAATTATAAAATATGCATTGAGAACTTCATCTGCCGTTAAGAAAACACCGAAGAATTAATTTCATTCTTAAACTAAGTGATTATTTCCTTCTCGTCAGGTTCAGCACCATGGAAGTCGCCCAGTGCTGTTTTAAGGACTTCACCAAGGAAACAGTTATCGTTATATCTAAATACATAACTAAAAGCACACATGTAAATATGTATATACAATGTTTAATAATAATTAATAATGTCTGGTGTGTTCAGATATCTGTGGGTATGTGCATGTCTGTGGGTATGTGCCCTCTGTACAGAGGGGGTGTGTGTGAGTTTTGCAGGATTTACCTCTTTTTGTATTACCTACAATATTCAGAAACATCTTCTTTGTGTTCCTTGTGCCTTTTCCTCGTCTCTTCATCAAGAGGACCTTTGCTGTGTGCCTTTAACACTACACATGAAGGGTTTGGAAGAAGGTAACACTGCACAAGACAGGTCATGGAGAACCACCATGGCAGGGGGTTGGGATGAGATGATCCTTTAGGTCCTTCCAACCCAAACCAGTCTGTGGTTCTATGAACTGCATGGAAGTGGAGAGTATGGAGCTCTGGGCTGACATCTTTTCTATGATAAAACCGCTGAGGCTCTTCATGGTGGAGACAGAAAGTTTCTCAAAGTGCCAAGATTACATAAAATAATAAAAAACTCCTGTCTCCCAGAGATTGAGAGCAATATTTCAGATCCTTTCGACAGTTTGTCGCCTGCCTGTGCAGATTATGAAGCGCTGATGGAGCATCTGCCAATGCCAAACCGCCCCTAACGAGGAGACATCTGCACTCCACAATCTCAACTTTCTGGAGAGAGGCAAAGACACAAATTGAATCTGAGAAGGCCCCACCTATGTAATCCTAGAAACCAAGGCTAAACCCAGACAGCTTGGCACCCAGTCATTTCTGCAGGCACCCAACTGCATTTTTTTGTATAACATTATGCCAAAGTTTAAGATTTGATATGAGCAGACATGTGCTGAAGTTTTCCAAGTTAAGAGATGTTTTTTTTAAGGGAAAGTGTCACATCAACCTTTCTCCTTGAGAACCAGAAAGGCAATCCAAGCTCAGTGCCTCCATTTCTTTATGAAGGTATGAGGAGTTTAAAACTCAGAGCACAACTGGAGCAACAGCTCAAGAAGAAGGAGGCTGAATTTGTTCCTGCAGCACATGAAAACATTTCTCAGCTCGTTTTCTTTCTCTCTGTTCATGGGGGACAGGCTTCCACTTTGGAAATATTTTAGAACTGAGCTTTATTAGAGACATGGTCTCTTTTTTTGAGTTTCATTCTCAAATTCTGGATTGACAGAAAAGTGTAACGAGGCAAAACCACAGCACAGCTGTGGAACAGATGAATGTGCCCCATCTCTGAAAACATTCCTCTGTGCCGTGGTCTTTGTTTCTACAGGGAAAAGAGCTCCCTGTAAGTAAAATATTTGCAATACAGAGTGTGCAGATTGGATTTCAGATTAAAGATAAGACAACATATTATACTGGAAATTACTCCTTTTGTTTTCTACCATAAATATGCTTCTCCCAGGAGAAGGGAAGGTATGTTCCTTTTATTCCCTCTTCAGGAGGGAACAATGAAAGGAGGAGATATGCCCAGCTCAAAGTAGGTCCCCACCATCAGTTTCCTGTAACTTACAGCTACTTTTCTCAACAGATCCTCTGTCATGAACGTAATTATTTCCTCCCTTGAAAGACAAGTCAGAGACTAAGCCAGACATGGTTTAGTGGTGGCCTTGGCAGTCTTGGGTTAGTGGTTGACTTGATGATCCATGTTGGTCCCTTTCAACTCAGGATATTCTACAATTCCCTGATCTTAGGGGTCTTTTCCTGCCTAAATGATTCTATAATTAATGTCTAGAATGGGAACAATTCCTGAATTACAATCCTTGCTACCTATTTTGCAGGTGGCAAAATATCCTCCCAGTTTGACGGGCTTATAAAACAAAATGAGGGGAGGGTAAGTGAGAGAAAAGATCTTGGAAAATAAAAAAAAAGGTTGGGGAAAGGATCTTGTTTAAGAAAAACAATTCAGGTTCTTTTCAGAATCTGAGTTTGCTACTTCCTGCATCTTGTGGGCAGAGACCTGCGAGAGGATCTGAGCAATGATTATGTTACTCCTTTGAGAGTACAAGTTTGATCCAGATAATCCTCTGTAACATCAGACATCCCTGCCACAGGGATTTATTTCAGTCATTAAAGGCTTTTTATTTACACATCGTTGTACAAAACACTCCTCAAAGTACTTTAACTCCTCCCCAATGAATTAGGTGAGAGCCACAAATGGTACATTAGGAGAAGTGGAAGGCACGACCTGCTTGCTGGGAAGGACCTGCTGCCTCCCATTGCCCATTCCTGAAGCTCTGGCATCTGTGAGCTCTCAGTCACCTCCTCAGCACCAGCCTGACCTTCTTTGCCATGTGGGCTCCAACCTGGAGATCTCCATGTGCAGGGAGTGACTCACTGTTCTCTGACCTGATTTCATTAATAAGGAATGGGTTGGGAACCCAAAAAAGAAGGTGCAGAGTCTTCTCCAGAGCGTTTCTATCCCGCTGGGACTGCTGGAAGCATCAGTATGGACAGCCCTGATTCCAGCCCGGAGCAGGGAGCGATCACGTCGTCCTCATTTGCAAGGCAAATTTCTGGGTGTCCCAGTGAGCAGGCTACAGGACCCACAGGACTCTAAATCACCTCACAAGTTAGTCAGCAGTGATGACCTGGAGTCACCCTTCAGAATGAAAAGAAGAAAAAAACCCCACAGCTCTAACAGAAAGCATCACCTCCCCCCCCCAATTCTACTTTTTTATGAGTTGCCGCAGCAGAAAATGAATTTTAAAAGTCATTCAAATTGAAATCTTAGTTCCTTTAACTCAAACTGGTGAAGTGCTGCCTGGCACAGCCACCTCACTATTAACTTGGCACCT